CCTATAAAATAGGCAGAAGCATGAGTGATAAAATCAAGTTTTTGAGTCATCTAAGTAGAGTATTCACTTCAAACATTCAAGAGATATCTAGCAAAAGAGAAAGTGCATGTTAAACTTTGCTCTCTGCTTAGACTCATGCTTCACTAAGCTCTTAGACTAGATCATACACGATTACACTTTTAGAGCTTAGTTTCTAGTTGGAGGATAGAAATTTTCTTGTAAACAAATTGTTGTAAACACTTAGGAGAACAGTTGTTCGGATCCTAAAGTGTGGTTAGATAGATAGAGTACCTTTTGATCCCCACTGGATCAATTGAGAAAAGTCTAAGGACTGAGTAACTTTGAGTGGTGTTATACTCATCGTGAAAAACCTTCAATCTAGGCCAGAGTTGTCAAGGCTAGATTGGCACTAATTGTATTGGGCTGAATACTTTAGTGGAAATCCATCTGAAATAGGGTGGGACTGGATGTAGGAGGATTACACCACCTCTGAACCAGGATATATCGTGTGTTGATTTACTTTCATACATACAGAAGCACACACCAAACACATCTCACTAAAGGATTGTAGTTTGCCAGCAGCATCCTAAGCAGTAGTCTTCATCGACTGTACTGCTTAGCCTACTGCTTAATAACTCACTCTCCTTGAGAGTGTTTTCCACTAGAAGTTATCTAACACTCAGAAGGTGCCTCAGCAGTACCCTGGTCTTCACCCTCCTGCTGAGCCCACTGCCCATTTATATGTGTCTTTCCGAACGCCATAACAAGCCAGAACAAAAAGCCATCCAAGAGTCATCCTGTTCTTAACAGTTGCCTCAGCAGTAACCTGCCCACCAGCCGACTGCCAACTCAGCAGTTGCCTGCCAGTCAGCAAACTGCCTGTGCAGCAGTAGACTAAGCAGTTATCTGCTCACCAGTCTACTGCCAAGCCTACTTCCTCTTGTCACCAGTCTAAACATCATCTAAACTAGAAAGTTATCTCACACCAAGTATAAAGAGGTTAAAGACTTCCGCTGTGCATCTATTAATCTCTTAAAAGATTATAGATCAACTCATCTAGAGGGAAAACTTCATAAAGTTGAAAAAGATTTAAAAGTCTATTCACCCCCCCCCCCCCCCTCTAGACTTTTACCTCTATCCGGGACCATCAATAAGTACTCCCTTTCGCTTCGTCTTCGCCTCAGCTTAGAGAGTGGGGGACTCCTGATAGAGTATATGGGCCTGGACCCTACGGCCCACATACTCGAGTCAACGATGACCAGAAGAACGTCCACGTGGCCCCCTTCGGCCTAGTGAGACCCGCATCGGCCAGAATCCAAACCGGCCCAGAACACGCACCTGGACTTCCGAGACCGCGTCGGCCCATAGATCGCATCGGCCATGGGACCGCATCGGCCAAAGTGCACCGCATCGGCCAGACTTCGTCCTGGCAGAATACATCTCTCTACTTTATTTACTAAGTATTATACACAGCCCATTAGTGGCCTTATTTCGCCCAAAGAAGGCATGATTATTGTAATGGGCCTCCTAAGCCCATGGCTAGGGGCCCAAATCCACATTTTTACCTATAAATAGACCCCTTGGGGCTAGTTATAGGGGGTTGAGAAATATAATTACTCACTTTCTCTCTCTAGCTCCCACTTCTCTCTAGAATTAATACTCTATCAATACTCAACAGGAAATGTTAGATATAAAAAGAGCTTGTTAATCGAGTTTTGTGCAACGACAGGAGTTGAATTTTTTTTTCTTCAAAAGAGTAGATATTGTTGATTTAAAAAAACCTCTTCCTTTAGATGATGAAAGACTCGGTAATGGGGGAGGGGGTGCATTACCATATTGTGCATGAAATTCATTAAATAAAGCGTGAAATAGATTACTAACCTCGTTGAATTGGGCTTGATGATCTATAGGTGTGTCTTCATACATAGGGATTAGACTGTAGAAAGCAGTATAATAGTATTCTAAAAATGTTTTATAATGTGAAAGTTTGAAACGAGGATCAAGATAGAAAGCAATAGAATAAATAGGCGGAATGTATGCATAATATTTTAAAAACTTTTCTTTCATGAAATCACAAAAATAATGTACATAAGCAGCTTGAGAAAATTCTTGGAAAACACCGGGGAGATTAACAACTTTTATAAAAAAAAATTGATTGCTAGTTGGTTTATACACATTGGAAAAAGTTTGAGTAGCGTTATTAAAATAAACTAAAATGTTGGAAATCTTTTGCATTATGTCGATCTCAACCGGTTCTATAGTATAATTACTAGTTTCTTTTATGAAATTAGGAAAGTGATCTTTAAATCTAAGAAGCACAAGAATTAAATTATAAGTACTGTTCCAACGAATAGAAAGATATTTAGGAAAACCACAATACCTTACACCTTTCAACTTCAAACAAGCACGCCATTGCATTTTAAGTGGATTACTAGCCCAAATCATTCTAAATTTCTAATTACATCCTTAACCGTCTCCATCACATTTCCTAATGCAGCTAAGCCGTCTTTCACACACAAATTAATAATATGACATGCACAATGCTGATGAAAAATCTACCATCAAGGTAGATGGACCACATAATTCACGCAATCTAGGTATAGTATGTGGTATTATCAAAGCCAATAGCAAACACCTTATCAATCATAGAATATTCAACTAAAATACGTTCCATGAGAATATAGATATTATCACCCGTGTGTCTTTCATTAAAATCTCGAAAAGCAATAACATGTTTATGCATTTGCTAATCATCACCAATCCAATGTGCAGTAACACCCAAATAATACAAGTGATGATAAGTATCTTCCCATATATCACTACAAACAGTCACACGCCCGTTAATGTTTACAATGTTTAATAACTTGTTTTATAATTGTTTTGCGGCTATAGTTTCGAAATTGTGGATTTAAAGAACCTTGAACATAAGCACATAAAGCAAGACTTTCATAAAAAATAAAAGACAAATTTTCTTCAACAATTAACTCAGACATAGCTTTTAAATGTACTTCATCAAGATTACAAATTACAAAATATTCAAACTTAACAAGAATTAAAGTTTAAGAAGTATTACTATGAAAAAAATGTACAATGATTAAAATGTAACGACAATTAAAAATGTGACTAACTACTTAACTGTGACTAACAATTAAAATGTGACTAACTACTTAATGTGTAGAACTATTAAAATTTAACAACAACTACAATTTAACAAAAATGTATCTAAAACAACTACAACTACAATGCAAGTAAAATGTTAGTAAATGAAACTATATATATATATATATATATATATATATATATATATATATATAGAGAGAGAGAGAGAGAGAGAGAGTCTCGTTCCTATCAGTTCCTAAAGAGCAGGCCCGTACGGACAAGCCCATCAGAGGGTATTCCCGGTGGAATTTTTTGATGAAATTTTTTGAGCATGTTCCTCATCAAGTCTAGTTTATCCATACCAAAATTCAGCTCACAATTCGATCGGGAAGGCAGTCAAATAAATTCTGGAAACATACTGCACATTATATGTGCGCAGAATGCTCAGTATTTTTCCAAGATTTATTTGACTGCCTTCCCGATCGAATTTTGAGCTGAATTTTGGTATGGATAAACTAGACTTGATGGAGAACATGCTCAGAAAAATTCATCAAAAAATTCCACCGGGAAGACCCTCTGATCGGCTTGTCCGCACGAGCCTGCTCTTCAGGAACTATGTATATGAACTGCCCTATATATATATATATATATATATATATATATATATATATATATATATATATATATATATATATATATATATATATATAGAGAGAGAGAGAGAGAGAGAGAGAGAGAGAGCTATTCCTGTCCGGAATTTACAGACAGGAGCCCCGTCCGGCCTCCTCCATTTGGGGGCCTTCCCGGTGATATTTTTTGCTAAAATTTTGTTTGTATGTTCCTCATCAAGTCTAGTTCATCCATACCAAATTTGAGAAAACAATTCAATCGGGAAGGTCGTCAAATGATTTTTGCAAGTTAACTGGTCCGGAAAATACATATTCCGGAGTATAAATACGCAATTCACCTTATCAATCAAATTATACTCAATTAAAATACGCTCAATGGGAATATAAATATTATCAGCAGTGTGACTGATAAGTCCGTATTTTGACACACATTTGATGTGTGTTGAGATCGGATTTTGATGATTTTCCTATCTTTAAGGTGTTACAAGTCTCAATTTTAGCTCAAGTTATGTTTAACAGGCGTTGGTTCGAGTTTTGTGTCATCACTAGTGGGAAAAACACTTTCTATAACGGTTAAAATCGACATTCTATGTCGGTTCGGGAACCGACGTTGTTTCAAGGGTTATAGAAAGTCGGTCACTTTCCATGTCGGCTGTCGTAACCGTTATAGAACATCAAGATTCTACGTCGGTTGTAATCCAACCGTTATCAAATGCGCTTCAGCCACGTTGTCTAATAACATGACATTTCGTATGGGTTCCAAACTGTAACCGTTATAAAATACATTCAATGTCTGTTCAGTATCACCCGTTATTGAATAATGGTTTTTCAGCCTGGCCTGGAATTTAAAACATATTTATAATGATTTTTTTTAACATAACTACTGTTATTTATTTAATAATATTCACAAACAACCATAATATCCAAAAAAACATAATTATTAATTATCCAAAAAACATAAGTATTAATGGTACTAGCAAAAAATAAGTGTAATATCATTTTACACCATCAAAATTCACGAGAGTTAACAGCAAAATTGCATAACATTTACTAATATGCTAACATTGTTTTCTACTAAATAAATACTAAATGCTAGTTGCTTTGCATAAAACTAATGCCCAACGCTCTCGAATCTCGTTGATGTCTTGTTCACTAAATGGATCTTGAACGTTGAATGTCTACAAAAAAAAAATAAAAAAAATAAACCAATCAGTGAAAATGAAGTAACAAAAATAAAGATAAAAGTATAATGAAACGTGAGTAATAATCAATTACCTCCATCCACGAATCCACAACACTTGCAGAAATAATAGTGGACATGTGCCTCATAACATAATATCCACATTCAAAACTCCCTCTTTGCATTCGAGACTGCAAATAAATGTATACTCATATTAAAAACAACATAAACAAAGCATTGGTTGTGTAAAACATGTAATTGGTTGTGTAATCTTTATTTCTACCAAACTCTTTGATCATGATACCAAAGAGCCTTTATTTCTGCCAGTAGGGATAAATGAGTATACTAGCCAATTGTTAATATAAAGAGTACACTGCCAAACTAGAAAGAGTAATATATGCTGCCAGAATACCACACTGCCATACAGTAAGAAGATACCAAAGAGCCTTTATTTCTACCATATGATCATGTATGATCATATGCTGCCAGAACACCACGCTTCTCCTCCTTCGATCATGAAGGCTCGTTGGGAAACTATGATCATATGGATCTTATTCAATTCCTCCAGCAGGTTTTGAAATAACACAATATAATCAAACAACTATAAAGTGCAAACTGAAATAATAAACTGCAATCCGAATGAACACTAGACTCATAAAATCAACAAAGTCAAAGCCGAAATGTAATTTTTTATACGAACAGATCACTATCTATTATAACATAAACATATAAATTATAAACATCTTATAGTACTTGAAGATAAATAAAAACAACTTTTACCATTGGCTTGATCCATTTCGGCTTGGAATTCCTTTTATTTTTTGTCATTTGATGTGCTTGCATCGCCCTAATGAAAACAAAAGTTAGTGAAGTTATAGCTTATGGAAACATTACATAAATTCACCAATTTTATATTACTAAAACTATGTCTTACAAATCTAGAGTACTCTTTATGTTTGCTTTTGGTTTGTTCCCCAAAGAGCATAAGAACACAATTAAATTTTTCTTCGGGCACAGTACAAACAACTGCCAATGGTTACTGCAATGAAATAGGGTAAAAAAAAATCAATCTTTGATTTCAAAATAATCATCTATAACCCAACAATGCTATGTTATGGCTACCGTACGCACATACAGTGGACAAAGAAGGTAGTTGTTAAAAAAGAGGCCACAACTACCGAATCAAACACAATCCTAAAAGTCCTGAGCACATAGCTCATTGAATTCAAATTATATGTAATCCAAAATGATTAGGTATGGCTGCCCTAATATCGGGCAGCTTTAATTGTAGGAGTACACATTAATAAAAATGAAAAGTACATAATAAAATTAAAAAATCTTACGGATAGTAGTATGGCAGTAAGTAGCACTCTTTGTTTCCATCACTCAGTTGAGTCATTATATATGTTTGAATATCTTCACGCTTGTTCCCCACATCTTGAGTGGTATGTGGGTCAAAAAACCCGTACAGATGTGTAGTATCCTTTCGAACACAAATCCCATGCAAATGCCTGTAAATTTAATCATAATAAATATATAAGAAGAAGATTAAGAAACTTCTACCTTCCATAAAAGATCAATAACATAACTACTATGAGAAAAAACAAAAAATCCATCTTACATTATCCATACTTGTAGAACCACTGCACTTAGCATTTGATTCCCCTTACATATCTCTAATATCTCTTCAGAGCCAACAAAAAGGGATATATCAGAACGCCCAATTATTTCTTCTTTCAGGATTAGCTTTATCGGTTGTGGACCAAGGTGAGTAGTCATTGTCAATAAACGTGATATTGGACCCTCCTGGTTCTCACCCGAAGCATTGTCTTCATCATGGTCATCATTATCCTACACAAGCAATGTCACATCATGGATATCAGACCCTTTATTCCAATCTTATCATTATTCCATCGTAAAACCTCCCTGCTATTGTTTCTTCCCCAACCGATCAAATTATAAACTGCCTAGCTATGTAATTTTTTACATCTAGACTTTCTCTATTGTACTTGTACTTTCTCTGTAGCAAAAATATTGAAAGAAAACTTCCCAGTTATGTGAGTTATGAACAAAACGGTATAAGTCGGGTGAAACTCCTACCAGTACATAGAATTACAATCCCTCAATATATAAAATAGTTGAATAAAATATAATTCACGCCAAGCCTAACTAATCTATGAAACCATAAGTCGATTCTGACAAATTTCCCAAGAACTCATTCAAGTAAGATTCTAAGAAAAACACTTGAATATGTACAAAGCATCATTTTTAGGTCAAGAGGAATTGAAGTTCAGAAGCCGAACAAGGAAGACAATTCTTGATAGTGGAAAGCTACATAACTTACTGCCATAAAGGGTCCGAATCACAGCACGAAGTCAATATACCATAGATGTGACATGAAATAAAAATCATTCAATAACACAAGTGTTGATATTTATTTATCACCTTTCCATTTGTCCAGCCGTTTACGTGAGGGTCAACCAATCTTTTTGGCCATTGAATGAACTGGTTGGGGGCTTGCCCAACTGTCTTGACCTCGTCACTTGGAATTGGGACCAATGCAGATGCATCCAACACCTCCACAACCTCCACCCTAACAATACCTGAATCTATTCTCTGATTGTGTATAGTAGGACCCAAATTGTGTACCTGATTAAGATGTCATAATTTATATCATGGAAGTTATGATATGCTGAATTTATTTCAGAATTTTTATAACTTAACTAGAATACCTTTCCCATGGCTACTAAGTGAAAGGGGGTATCCACATATAGTCGGGATAGCTCATCATCCGACTCGGAGATATCCTCTAGAGCATTGCTTCCCTTTGTACTGGCATGCGTAGGAGAACGAGTGTGGCGTGCCTCTGTGCGCAGTTCTGGTTGTTGGGTTAAACCCAATCTCTTGAGTTCATCTTGAAGCTGCTGAGAAAATACTTGTGACAATTGTTCAGTTACTTGTTGTCTTACCTGTTGTGTTGCTTCTGTTACTTTTTGATCCATCTCCTCTTGCATCTCTTTCTTGATTCGATCAATGTCATTTACGGTCAAAACAGTGGATTTATGACCTTGACGTGCTAAGGGTCCAAAGTGTGAAAGAATAGTAACACCTGTTCTAGCACCACGTACACGACCTGGGTGCTCAGGGCGTTCAGTAGCCGCCGCTAGGATATCGTCACGACCGATGGGAGTAAATGTCCCTTCCTTTTCCTCCTCAACTAGAGAATCATGGGGAACTTTTACACCATGTAACCACGCACAGAATTTGATTTTCTCTTCTTTAGACAAAGTATGACAAGCTGGAGGTAAGTACATCCGCTTACCTAGAGGTTGTGGAGCTAGGTTTTCTCGTATACCCATCTCTACAAGATCAAGACGAGAATTCAAACCATCTTTTGTCTTTCCAGGAATGCCTAGAAGTGTTCCAATTACACTGTCACACACATTTTTTTCAACGTGCATCACATCAATACAATGTCTCACATCAAGCATGCGCCAGTAAGGGAGATCGAAAAAAAGGGACCTCTTCTTCCATATGCGTGTTTCAGTAGTTTTTTTTTTTTGATTTACCGAACACAACATTGATATCCTTCACTCGTTCATAAACTTGTTCTCCGGTCAAGGGGGTTGGAGAACATCTATTCTCATTGCATCCATTAAAAGCTTTCTTCAATCTACGGTATGGATGATCCCGTCTGAGAAACCTTCGGTGACCAAGGTACACAGTTTTTCTTCCATGGACTAATTGATGGTAGCACGTGTCTTCTTCACATATTGGACATGCTTTATGTCCCTTGATACTATAACCAGCCAGATTCCCATATGCGGGAAAGTCGTTAATGGTAAATAACAATATGGCTCGCATCTTGAAATGTTCATTTCGATACCTGTCGAACACTTCAACGCCTTCCTCCCAAAGTTTTTTTAGGTCTTCGATGAGGGGACTTAGATACACATCTATATCATTACCGGGCTGTTTTGGACCCGAAATCAACAAAGACAACATCATATATTTGCGCTTCATGCACAACCATGGAGATAAGTTATATATTGTCAAGAGAACAGGCCATGAACTATGAATGCTACTTAAGTTACCGTAAGGATTCATTCCATCTGTAGCTAGTCCAAGCCTAAGGTTCCTCGCCTCATTTCCGAAATTAGGAAACAACCCATCAATTTTCTTCCATTGAATAGAATCTGCCGGGTGGCGAAGCATGCCATCGCGTTTCCTCTCATCTGCATGCCATCTTATATTCTTTGCTTCTTCTCGGTTAGCAAAGAGTCGTTTCAACCTTGGTATTATTGGAAGATACCATAAAACTTTTGCTGGAGAGCCTGATGTGATAATTACATCTTCACTAGAATCATTGTCTTTGACTTTATAGCGTGAAAGTCCACATCTCGGGCACTTATGCAAATCAGCAAACTCTTTTCTATACAATATACAGTCATTAGGACATGCATGTATCTTTCTATACTCCATACCCATAGGACACAATATTTTCTTTGCTTCATAGTTGCGGTTCGGCAATGTATTCCCTTCGGGTAGCATATCTTTTAACAACACAAGCAACTCTGTGAAGCTCTTATCACTCCATCCATTCTTTGCTTTCAGATGGAACAAACGTAAGACAACTGATAATCGTGTGTACTTGGTACATCCGGGATATAAAGGCGTCTCTGAATCACCACTCAATGTATCATAAACATGAGATCGACTAAAAGGCTTTGTGCCAACATCACGTATCATGTCCTCTAAATGATCGCCCACATTTGTTGCACAAGTTTCCTCTCTATGAGATGATGTGCTATCCATGTTGAGCCGCTCTCCGTGCCATATCCATATCGTGTAGTTTTTGCAAAATCCATCACAAAGGACATGCTCTCGTATTAAATTGACATCTAATTGCATCCCATTCAAACAGTTTACACAAGGACAATAAAACTTTCCATTATTATTAGGAAGATGCTTTTCAGCAAACTGAAGAAAAGACTCAATGCCATTTTCATACTCATCACTTGTCCGCTTACAATTAATCCAACTACGATCCATAATAATTATCGTGATGTCTGCAGTACATGCAAACGCAGATACAAATATAAGAAAACCAAATGATAGTAATACAAAGAAATTTACTTTAGATCTTAAACAATAAATACTCTTACAAAGCTTTGTAATTCACCTTTATAATATATGATTTAAGAATCAACATAAACCAACGGGTGAAAAAACACTACTTATATGGGTTGGTAAGAATCAACTGTTGTTTAAATGAGGGCACAATGAATCTGTCCTCATTGGTTGAGTCTGCCAATGGGTTGGTTTTCTGCCTGAATCAACTGTCATGTGGGCACAATGAGTTGATTCTAGTGGTTATGACAGTTTTGAGTTCCTCTATAATGTAAAATGTTATAACTCGTCTGATATTTGATCTTCTTTTTGGGCATGACAGTTTTGACCAAGCAAAATGTAAACAGATCAATAAAAATCACTATAGGAAAAAAAAGTCTATATATTGATTGTTTCCTGAAAGATATGCATGTAGAAATGGCATATCAAGTCTCACACTTCTCCGCTAAAACTGACTGCATGTGTAGTGTTAATTATTTAAGGGAAACTATATGATATTGTCATTATATACTTTTTATATTTCATGATCCATAGCTGTCCCTTTTATATTTATTTATATGTTTAATAGTAAAATAAAAAAAGTATATGTCCTTTACGGTTTCTGGTAGAGTGGTAACACAAGTGTATGAGACAAGACAGCTATAGTTGGACCTTGTTTATGTACGTAGAACCAACGGAAGTTAAATATTTGAGATATAATCATTAAGGAAACTCCAAGTAAAAACATCATTAATGTGTGATGCAAATATTCCTTCAAAAAATTTAGATAGACATATAAATCTCCAAGTGGTATTAAATGTAAGTCATTGGGTTTGTTTGGTTTTTGGCGGATTGGGGTGAAACCGCTGCATTTTGCAGCGTTTCCCTTTGAAAAAAACAGCGGTTTGGGGTGAGCCACTGTAAAACAAACACCCCCATTGTAGGATAAGTGGAATCTACTCATACCACTCTGAAGTCAGAATTGTTTTCCATTGCTTTAAATAATCTTATGAAATATAAGTTTTGAAGTTGTTCTATACTTGAAAAGAACACAGTAGATTTTTCTTGAACAAAACTAAAAATGGAGAAGAAGTGCACATTTCCTTTTGATAGTGTATTCTTCTAAAATACTCAAATAGTGCCTGACATTTTTCACTTAAATATTGATTTTGCATGCTTCTAATAGTGGCTGAGTTTTTTTTTCAACCTCACAACCTCTAAAACTTTTCATTTCATGCTCCAAACTCACGCCCCCAGGCCTAATCTCTTCTATGGTGTGTCAGTAAACAAAAGCATCACATGATACAAGAGCAATTACATGCCATCACACTCCGGCCGTAAAGCCTTTTTCAAGTTTATGACACGAGTAGTTCTATCAAAATTTCTCCAGGCCATTTATTTCCTATCGTCATAGTAGTCACGGCGCACGGCGACGGACTTGGTGCTGGGTTAATATCACGCGGCGTTGGCGATGGCGCCAAAATGGCGCTCAGATGGCGCTCCAGTAAAACATAACATTAAAAAACTTTAAACATAACACATAGACAATATATGTGTATGACTTAACCACCAATCAAACTGCCTATCAAACTCTGAATAAGGCAATAACAGTATAACACATAAGTAAAACATATCAGATTCTTAATAAGTTTATATACATAATAAACTTATTAAATGCTTAATATATAACACAGTATATTAGTGTATTATCAAACTGTCAAACTGCCTATCAATTATCAAACTC